CTCAAATTCAGATGTATAAACTCACGTATTATTTTGTAATATCCGGCTCGGAAGGACCATGTAAAATACTTTAGATTAAAACTCTCAAAGGACTCCTTTCTCCAAGATTCAAGGCTCAACTCATGCGTGGTTCAGACTCATTAAAATATAAATAACACAAACTTTATTACAAAAACGCTGCCATATGAAAGCTCTACGCTCGTTCATTAGTATTCCATGTGTTCACAAAATAAACGTCATAGAATATTACGCAATCTCTGACAAAATTCACAATATATAGATTTAGTATATTAGGAAAATATTATGATTAATAAAGACCAAGAAAAAGGCTAAAGCCTGACTATAATCACCAAATACTATGTACTAAATCCAAAATTTTATAATCACTGACAGACTTTCTCTGTTTGGCTAGTATCAAATGTTTACATTTGCTAATATTGGGCTCTAGTCCCAGACAATACAATACTGATTACTGTTTCTTTCAATCTTATAAACAAGACGCGTAGACGTATAGTAACAAGTAATTAAATCGGTGCAAAGCATATAAACATTTACAAGAAAGGACAAATCTAATGGCGTATTTTAAAAACATTACATATGTAGAAATGATGCTGAAAAGCTCATAATAAACGTTTGTTATAAAACCGCGCTCGAGTGTGAAGAGACGGCATTGAATAACAACACGAGAGAGCAATGTGAGTAACGATTTGCTTGGTTTCTTGACTTGACTGTTGGTAAAAATGTAAGAATGTTCTTGTAAATTCAAAGCAAAGAAAATAAACAAAAATTAGCAAGGGAATCATGTAATTTGATACTTTTCCCACACCCCCTCGGGCGCTAAATTTTGGACGAGGCACGTGACCAGCCCATACCAGGGTATTTCCTAAATACCCTGGGAACGAGGTTGTTGAACACGACTACATCAACGCATCCAGACATGCGCAGAGTGTAATATGGAGCCAGAGTGCTCAAACGACCACAAGGGAAGTCAGCTAAGCTTTGCAATATCGCTAATAGACATCCATGACCCATTAACAAGATCCGCAGAGTGCACCACAAAATACTTCCCTTTTAACAATTTTCGTTTTAGTTTGTTATATCATTCCTAAAACCATAATTTACGTAGTTTCGCAGTAATTAGCATAAATTAACTGCATAATTTCACTCACGGAATCACGGAAGCAGTTACTCTGTTACTGTGTTAATAGAAATACTAAAGATATGGACATGAAAAGCCGAAAACTTGGCTGTATTTTGGCTGCTGCCACAGCAGATGCTGCAGGTACGTTGTTTGTTGACTGTATTTGTGAATTATTTGTCTGATTGTGTGCTTTAGTGCTTATCTGAGTTGCATGCTTTTATAAATATAATTACGCGTGTTATAAAATATATATATCATGCGAAGAAGTATTATTCCTTCATTTATTATGAGAAAAAGTACTGGATTTAAAAGCTTTATTTGACATATACTGTATTCACTGTTGTGGAAGTTCCTTAAAAATTGGGATGGCAAGGTCAAAGTGCCTAATTATATACCCCTATATCTATAAAGGAATTCCAAGCACAATCACCTCACTCATGGGCAAGTGCAAAAACCTTAATACCCCTGAGGAATTCCAGACACATATGTACCATATATTACCCCTGGCTGGTTACACCTTTGCATGTACCCCTGGCCAAGGATAGCCCTATCCGCCGAATAGAGAATTTTTTTAACTTTCTAAAATTGTCTGTACTGATCGATTTACAAATTAAAGTTTCTCTTTATGAATTGTGAAGTCCATATTTGTAGTTTTATAGCTTTTGAAGTATTTTTACCACTGTTGAAAAAATCATTATCTATAGTGGATAACATTATGAATCCAGCCTTTGTACAATATTCCAGGCCTATTTGGCATCTATGCTTGAAGAATTTCAGCTATTCTTGATGGCCGGGGTGTTTGGATATTAAATGGAATAGCCCATTTCAAATTAGGCAGACACTTGAGGAAGTTTCAGGACTGTGGGGTTGGGAGCACTTACAGTACAGATTTTGCCAAAATGCTTTAAGTAAAAACAGTGGCAGTAAACTACAGGTAAACATGAACACCATGCAGTTCAATTTATATAATCTACTCTGTCCATGTGCCAGACAATTTTACTCATCAAGGAGAGAAAGAGTCTTGCACAGTAATAATTAAGTTAACCATCTGCCAATGTGTCTTGTTAACATATCACTACCATTAAGCTGCAATGCACCCAACATTATTATTTTACTCAGTCTAATGCCAGATGATTTCACTCGGAAATAATAGAGTGGGATCAGGTAATTTTATTAAACTTTTCTTTGAAATTAAAAAAGATGGAGCTACTGTGCTTATTAGTGAGAGGACATATTTGAGAGGGAGCATTATAGAAGATTTATACCATTTCAGGCACATTTGAGGAGGCATTTATTGGGATTTAATAGTGAGGGGATGTAGTACTGTAAGGGGGGGGGGCTTGTTGATTTAGCCAAATGCGGTAAGTTAAGCGTGGATACATGCATATTTTTGTTATAAATGAGAAGGGGGCCAGGAGCTAGGGGAAGGCCAGCCTAGTCCCTGTTGTTCTGAAGCATGACTGTACAATCTTGAACCCCGACCCTTAGAGCCGCATATATCATGGATGACACTAGAACCTAGGTGTGACATCACTGCTCAAGGTGCTCACCCCAGTCAATCATCCCTAGAAATTAAAGATTAAAGCTAATTATATAACAGGATCGAGAGAGGTTAAGTTTCATTAAGTAACAGATTATTTTTGACTATAGCTTTAGTACCTCAAAAGTAAAAAGGTAGTCCAAAATAATCTGTTACTTAATGAAACTTGACTGTTTATACGGAGTTGTTCGTGACTCATTTAGGCTGCAGCTTTTTTAAGCCGAGACATATTATAACTGTAAACCCCCAAATATAAGTCCCCCCTAGATATAAGCCCCCCCCCCCGGATATAAGCCCCCATGTATATAAAGCCCACCACATGTACTAATGCTCACCTTATTCCAAATAAAAGCCCCCGAATATAAGCCCCCCGAATATAAGTCCCCTGACTATAAGTCCTCCGAATATAAGCCCAGTAGCCCGGCCACTACGTTATTCATTAATAATTATTAGCAGAGAATGATGTTTAAAAACATTGTCATTGTCTTTAAAGCTTACTATGTTAATCAAACTGTGTTATTAGTACATGTTTATTTTCCTGTTTATGACTGACTTGTTTATGTCTGATTTGTTTATTAGCTAACACAAAAGATTGTCCATGTATAAGCCCCCTGTATATAAGCCCCCCTGTATAAGCCCATCAAAAATCACTTACGAAAGTATAAGACCAGGGCTTATAGTCGGAGGTTTACAGTATTTCAAGCTAGATTGTGGGCGACTCAAATCATTGCTCTTTTCCATGCATCAAATGTCGGGGCTTAACTAGAGCATCGAATATTTTCAATGACTTCGAGATAAGCCCCACTTTTTTCACGGGGCTTAACTTGAACTTTCCAAGTTATGTTTCTTTCTTTGAGTTAAGTCCTTGACAAAAATGGGTGTGGTTTGGGTGTGTTCGCTTAACCCAACCTCGTACCAAGGGACTTTCCTCTTGGGGATCAAAGACCCTTGTAGACGCTAGTCACATGATCTGCTAAAATCTAGCAGATTTCTAATTAGCAATCCAAGATCAGGATTGATATTTGGATTATTTTCATAATTAATTTATAATTTGCATTTTGTATATTGTCGTAAAGAAAATCAAGATAGTTAATTAGAAATCTGCTAGATTTTAGCAGATCACATGACCATCGTCTACCAGGGTCTTTGCTCCCCAAGAGGAAAGACCCTGGGTATGAGGTTGCGCTTAACCCTCTATTAACTATGGCTTAACTCAAAGATTACCTACCTCAGAGAGCCTGGGACTAGGCTGGGGGATGGCTTAACTGAGAGAAAATGGACTAATTTATGGTACAAGGGGACTTAATGGAGAGGAGGTCTGGTTTGATAGAGGATTTATGGTTATTAATGTTTGCACAACCTTAGTTGGAAAATTATGATGGCCACTTAACTGGCTGCTTAAATTTTGTTATTATTTGTTGTAATTGGTTCTGTTCATTTTAGCCCAACCACTTCACTGGATTTATGACCTTAACAAATTTCGAGCCACTGTGAGTGATGCTGTTGAAATAGAATTCTGGAGTCCTTCAGCTAACCCATTCTATTGTCTTGAGATGGGCAAGCAAAGTTGTTATGGAGACCAGACTCATGCTATAATAATATCTTTAGCAAGAAAGAAAGGTATATACAATATACATTAGTTGATAAAGTTTACTGCATGCATGGTCTCCAGGGTATCAATAACAAATTTTTATTTTTCTCAGAAATTTAAATAGCAATTTAGAAAAGAGTGACACTGTCACCAACAGGGTACATTCTTTTGATTTTTCTGCACCTGGGCTTCACCTTGCAAATGCGTCAACACATTATAGTGTTACTGAAAATTACTGTTACTTGGAAAATATAGAATATAGTACTTGGACATTTTGAGCAATAATTATGCCCTTTGTCAAAGTAGTAAGTTTATATCTCTGACAGGCTGTTGCATCAACTTTGTGAATATCTTTCATTTATTTAGTACCGGCCTTTACTGGCTTTAGTGTTATACTGGAACTCAACACTCAATATATCGCAGAGCATTATACTACGTACCACACATAAGTTTTGTGCTTTCATTGTTAGAATTTAATCTTGAAGACCAGAAACAAGCAACATACAAAATGTTTGGTCCCGACACAGACTATTCCCTCATTGATGAAGGTAAACAATGTGGCATTTGTTTGTTTGTCTGTCTGTCTATTTGCTAGCTTTCTCTGCTGGCCGTAGCTTTTGAGTTGCCCGTACGTACCACTGGCATCAAAATTGTGCTCGCTTTCTGCGTGGGCTTGCAAGGTAAAATTAGTTATTGGTCATAATATTATTTCCTACATGTTGCAATAAATGAAAACGTATTGGACAGGTTTTAGTGTAGTCTCCCTCGCAGCCGCAGCGCTAGTAGGGAGTTTAAGATCTTGACGACGAGCTACCGACTACATTTGAAATAGTTTTTGTTATATGTATGCAAATACTAAATGCTTGAATTGTTATAACAAATTATCCCAAATATGTTTTATGTGCATGGTTTTGTGTTCGGTAAGTTTCATCTTTTAATTTTAATCATTTCTTTATAAAAATACTATCCAACCTCCAACGTTGCGTAGTCAGTTTTGGTGGTATGTTCTTGACTCTGTTTTACAACATAAGAATGTGATTTTTACGCTGTAGCCAAGGTCGTCGCTACGGTGAAAAGTATGCTCTGGGGATATGTAAATTTTGTCTGCCTCTGTTAAAGCAATGCGAAAACAAGCTTTCAACCGTACTCCGTACCCGTTGTTCGTTGTCGGCATCTTAAACTCCCTAGTTGTGGAGAGACTACCGGGCGAGCACACCGACGTCTGCGAAGGAGGCTATAGCTTTAGTCAACTGTCTTTTACATCATGTGGTTAACTAGCTGTGCATGCAACATCTGCCTCTACTCTCTTGTATCTGTTCTGCAACTGTGCAGTAGTAATGTTGTCAGGTTACGAATTGGATTGGAGAAAAGATGGTGATGGCGAGTTATGATTGGTTTTTGAAGTTATGAACACCTATAAATGCACTTACTGTTTATTCTGAAAGGTTCAGGGTCATGTAGATTGTAGAGTACGTAACATATATGAACGCGGAGTGACAGGATAAAAAGTGCTGGAAATGTCCAGGGCGTCCTCCCAATTTTGGGGACCCCGGCCTTTCTATAGATGGCATCTTTTATTGAACAGGCGTAGACAAATTTATGAACCTACGTTTTCTGTGAACGCATTTTTAATCGCGTCCAGAAGGCGTTCTAGATGCATTTCGAATGGCAAGGAAGCGCGAGTTGCGCAACGTTTAGTTATTTCTAAGCATGCAGTACCAGTACCAGTACTGTAGCTACACTCACAGACATGTGACGACGAATAGAATTATAGTATTAAATTTGAATAAAAGAATGAAGCAATAAAATTTAAAATGAATTTTTAATGTGGTTAAACGTAGATTTAAGCGAAGTTAACGGCAGATGTATCTAGCAGCGGGGAGCCCCTGACGTCACTTAGAACAGTTGCAATTCTTGCGCATCCGTCACTTTGCTACAGCTTGGCTAGCCAGCTACAACTGCTCTTTCGCTCTGTTCCCCTTCGCCCTTTCCCCACCCAGGTTAATGTTTGTTGATACTCGGGTTAATTTTTTTGTTTTGTTTTAGTTTTGTTTTTTGTTGTTTGGTTTGGTTGTATCGGGTTGTTTTTTTATTTGTTTTTCTTTATAGGATACAATCTATAGACTACTATAGAATGCGTCCTTTTTTCCACTGATCATCAGTGTGACAGGTGCCGGAGGTCTGCCTTGGCAGAATTGTCATGGCAAACTCCTATTGCTACTATAATTAGCCTTATTATTACGTTTTTTTGTTGTTTTGCCATAGCTGTTTGCCATTGCTGTTTGCCAGTTTTGCCATTTGCCAGTTTGCCATAAATGTTTGCCAGTGTTTTGCCTAATGTTTGCCATTGCGGTCATTTGCCCGACAAGGCTAGATCGCCGACTAGCCTTGGCCACCAACGGCACCTACCTCCAAACTCGGATACTCTGCCGTTAATTAAAATATATTTTTCAGCTATGAAAACAGGGTTGCCAGTGAAGGCAGCGTGGAGGAATGGCAGCATAAAATATTTTCTCAAGAAGATGGATGAAGGTTCCAAAGACACAGGTACTGGATATCTACGGTTACCATTAACTTCAGACATAAAACCTCGCTTAAATCAATGTGATCTACACAAATGAATCTGTCCATGCACTTTTTTGCACTCATGCTAATCGAAAGTCGAAATTCCCCTCGAAGTCTGTCAATTGATTATAATATATTGTCCTAGTTGACTCGTGGTGCGATATATCGCGTACTTACCGTACCGGAGACATGCCAATATTACGGTCTGGTATTACTTTTTTCAGCCATGTAAGTACCACATAAGTACATGTACGAAAAAAATTCAAAATTTTTTCCTTGACAAGGAAAAGCTAGTCATACAACGAAATTGTTCATGTCTTTGGCCATCAGGAAAATTACGGAGTACCTCACAGCGCACTCAGTGGTCTTTGCCATCAAATCAACCAACATATAGTCTCTTCTATTATATATCATCATACAGCCTTGCATGAATCTATGATGTGTAATCATCATCATACAGCTGTTCATATTTGAAGGTAATGCCTTGAAAGGGAGGAAGTACGTCAAGGGAGATAGGTCGTCCTAAAGGTAGGTCGTCGAGGGGTGGGGCAGTTAGCCGTCCCCCGCCATTTAGGGTCACGGGAGTTAGCGTGAGGGTCAGGTACCCAAAAAACAAAAATGTCGAAAGCTCGCAAGAGTAATAAAGATTTGAACCAGAGAGCGTCCAAAAACTTAATGTAAACTGTATTTCAACAATTGGTACTTCTCCCTTTCTAAATTCCTTCCTGCTTCTCTTGCCAGAGTATAACCTTTTTTCCTTAGAGCCTAGGGCCCCTTAAAATTAAAGGATTAATCCCGTTAAATGAATATTAGGGTGGAAGTCCCGCTTTGGTCTAGTCCAATTTAATATCGCAGTCAGTTAATCGATTTTCGGAGTATTTCCCCGAAAATAAATTTAACAAAACAAGTGCATACGATCCACACATTTGTGTTTGTCCTCGATATAAAATCAAACCAAGTTACAGAGGTAAATATATACTGAACTATTAAAATCATACAGTATCTAATTATATCTAGGTCACCCTGACGACACTCAGATAGATGGCGTAACGAAGATAGCGCCACTTGTTGCAATGTATGCTGGACATCCTGATCTTTTGTTTCATGTCGAAGATGTGACACGAATGACTGAAGATAATGATATAGCTGTAGCCATTGGGTTAGCAGCAGCCAGGTACAATTATATTCAAATTTAGTATTTACCATGGTCCACCCTTGTCCTGCAAGGGATGCTATAAGTGCTGTTCTTGTTTTCTAGAATAATAGAACGGTGTTTACTGACAACAAACACAAATGAGAGTATGATAGATGTTGTCAAATACGTCATGACAGGTCTTGCTGCAAATGATCGCACCAATCCCCAGAATCTCGACCGAGCAGTCATCGGATTCTTACAAGAGGTCATTGACTGTAAAGATGTACCTCACAATGAAGCTGTCCCTCAAAGATTTGTCAATAGCTGAGGTAGCTCTAATGACTTTGATATTTGCTTTTCTATCATTTCTATAAAATTGATCATAAAAAGTTGGTATGCTACTGATACGTGTGGCAGATACGGTTAGGGCGCTGCCCATTACCACTGTGTTACTATTACTGAAGTTTAAGGGTGGGGTACTGTTACTGGTATTTGAATCTTGATTGGTATAACTACCCTGCTCTGACTTGATGCGCTTGAGAACTCGTGTAAATAGAGTTTTCTCTTGTGTTTCGGCACTCCGGCTTTTCTTCCTCACCAAAAACTAGCCCTTCTACCTTAGCTTTCCTTTGTGATCATAGATCAAAGACATGGGTCGTATCGTGGCAGCCAGAGGCGCTCTAGCGTTGGCTCTGTTACGTTTCAGATGCGTTCAACTCTCAGCTACAAGTATAATAAGGCCAAAAAAATATGTGGGTTTCCGGTTTGCCGACCCTACCTAGATTAGGGAAATTTATCTTTAAAAAAGTTTAAAAAAAAGGTTAAAACCGACCTACCCTACCTAAGTTTTTACAAGAAGAAATAGGAAACCCACATTTTTTTTTTTGCTAAAGGATTGGCACCCCTATACAGGGTGTATCAAAAAAAACTGAACAGATTTGAAATTGGTCTCAATTTCGCAAAACAGCTATTTGTATCCGGTTTTTTATATATATAGCCTCTTTGGGTACTTATAATGTAGAATAATGAGAAAAATTTCTCGAACTCAAATTTTGTGAACCAGGGGGGTGTGTCTTTTCCAACAAACTAAAAATGGCTCGCGCACAAAATTTAAAAGTTGTAATCATATTTTGAATTAACAGATGAAAAATTTGTCGGGTTTTTAATTACTGTACAAAATTTCAGGCAATTTGGTTTAGTTTAAGCCCTTTAACTATTCACGCAAAGTTACATTTTTCCTAAAAATCAGCTATTTGCATGCTTAATTAATGCCTTTGCCTAATTTGCATATGTTAGCAATATGCAAATTAGGTAAACGCATTAATTAAGCATGCGAAAGGCTGATTTTTTAAAATAAAATGAATAGTTAAAGGGCTTAAACTCAACCAAATTGTCTGAAATTTTGTACAGTAATTAAAAACCCGACAAAGTTTCCATCTATTAACTCAAAATATGATTACAACTTTTAAATTTTGTGCGCGAGCCATTTTTAGTTTGTTGGAAAAGACACACCCTCCTGGTTCACAAAATTTGAGTTTGAGGAATTTTTTTCATTAATCTACATTATAAGTACCCAAAGAAGCTATATACATAAAAAACTGGATGCAAATAGGTGCTTTGCGAAATTGAGAGCAATTTCAAATCTGTTCAGTTTTTTTTGATACACCCTGTAGTATAGGTGATATATATAATTGACTAGTAAATATTTATAGGGCATATCGTTTTTCTGCAGGTTTGCCAAAGTCCTTCCAGGCAGGTGTGCATGGTCTTATTACGGCTAGCAACTTGGTGGAAGGAGTTCGTGCAACAATGCGAGCTGGAGGATGTAATGCTTCTAGAAGTACATTCATTGCTGCTTGCTTTGGAGCTATGGTAAACACTAGCCGTTCTAGCGCCGTATTAGCAAAAAAGTATCCTGTTTCTGGTCAGTTTGTCTGTCCAAAATTGATGCTCGCAGAAATGGCGAGTACATTCCAGTTTCTACAAATGCATACATTGATTTTTTATGTAAACTTGGTGACGTTTAACATTAAGCATAGATAGAATAAAATGAGAACTATTAATTCTTACTGCTTAAATGTTCAGGGATGTAAAGTAATAGAAATATATCAAATATGAAATATTACAAGAATATGCTTTATTCTCTCACAAAAATCATGCCAAAATATGCAGTACGTTTTAGTACTAATATATGTATTCATAAACATGTAACGTATTACTTTCGTGTCAAAATTTCAGTAAACTGCTTTTTTGGGCAGGAAATTTTCAGTGAAATTTCCTTGAGATGACCAGCGGTTTTTATTAAATAAACGTTGATGTGCATAGTTAAAGATGACACGCGCGCTGACTAGAAACATAATACTTTTTTGGCCTTATGTCCATTCATTTGCACGAATGCAGTTAATACGGAAAACAATACGGAAAACACTAAAATGCAATGTAAAAATAAAAACACTCAAGATTGCAGTATATATAGCTACCGATAAAAGTTCAATACTTCAACATTACTCATGCATTAGAATGTCCGCCGAAAGATGGACAACATTGCAATATTTACCGAAAAACGGTCAACATTGCAATCTATACCGAAAAACGTCAACATTGCAATGTACACGCACTCAAAATTTTAGTTCTAACTAAGGAGTAAGGCCCATTTTCTTTATTTCATTTAGTGTGGAGAAAGTGTTGTCCCGGCAACATGGAAAAGCAAAACGCTAAAATACAGCAGTTGGTTAGAGCTTGGTACAGTTGTTGCTGAATGGAAATCGAAGTAAATTAAACACGATTTTTTTATCGTCCCAGTTGAAAGTCGTCAAAACTGTAAATATTTCTTTTACAGATTATCGTCTACGGAGTAAATCCATTCAACCTAAAATGAACATGCATGTTTTGTGATTGGCTTGCTCAAATAAAAGTGATCAGTGATTGTGGCTTGTTCTTTAGGAAACGTATTCTTTGCTTTACTTTGATATATTGTGTGGGACTTCGCCAACTTCGCAGGGCTATATTTCCCGTATTTTACAACATTTCGCAACCAAACTTTGCAGTTTTTCTAATTTTGATAACTTCTTTCCGAAAATATCCTTTGTTATTCCCAGATTAAAAATTTTTCTAAAGCGCAAGTCGTCCATTTTCTCCGGGTGCTCCGGTTTCCGCCCGCATACAGGGAAAGTTTACAGGGTGCATGGTTAGGATAAACACAGTTAAGAAAGTAATATTATAACTGTTGTGAAAGATAAAATAGTCTATACTACAGCTAAGTACTGATTAAGTAAGTGTAATACTTGATGTAAAGCGCATTTGATCATATCCACATGTAAAAAGGCCCTAGCCAGAGTTCTTGTCATTTTTGATTTCCTCAATTTTCCTGAAGCACGCCTAATCAGTGTTTTTCTCTTTGCCCTTACTTTTTCTTTATCACTTTACATTGCAGTTCGACTACATATATTTATAGCTAGAATGTGTTATTAGATATGCGCAGTAAACGTGCGCAATGCAAAACTGATGAATCACCTTAATCTTCTGAAAGAAACGTTAACTCGGCAGATATAGTTCAAATATTTCAGAAAATTATTCGATGTAAATACATTAAAGGGCGAACAAATAAAATAAAAGGGCGAACAAATAAAACCTATATATATATATAGGACCTATATAACGAAGGACGAATACAAAATCTGTAAAAGCAATACTTTCATCTTTTGTCGGTTCTTTCAGATGTAAATGTAATGTTAGAAATTTTATATAAATTTTATACAAGTTCATACACAGCTCAGTGGTAAGCACAGTGTTACTTGACGTTTGACATGATGACGATTGAACCCGAAACTTTTGAAGGGTTCTATTTGATGACGTATTGTTATGACGTAAAGTTAACACAAAACTGCTGATTAAACATACTGTATTAGCCTGAACAGACAGATACGTAGTGGTTGAAATATACGAACGTGTTATGTTTAATAGATGATGGTTAAATCTAAAACACTTCTAAAAGGAGGATTTAACTTGATAGTATAATGTAAACATAATGTTAAGACAATCAAACAATCATTAAAAGATGTATACTAGTTATTATCCGTTGTTGTTGTTGTTATACGTAGACTTGAGACACGTTACTACTGTAGATGATGGGGCAGGTAATAGACTTGTTTCATGGTTGTGGGGCCAGGGACGTCGCTATAGGGGGTGTGCAGGGGGGGGGGGGGGTAACACCCCCCAATAATTCAAACGTTGGTCAAAGTTGGTCAAAATGGAACTGATATTTGCCCAAAGTTGGACAAAATGGAACTGATATTTGCGTAAATTTGAAGGTAAAACTCGGTATAAAAGATGATCAAAGTTGCTCAAAGTTACGAAATGGTTCGCAATTTTAACAATTTTAAAGCTTTTGTTATGTTTGCTGTGAAAAAAATTGGAAGCTTTGCTTTTTTGGTTGAAAAATTTTGAATATGCTTTTGTTAATCCGGAAAACTTTTTTGACCTCCCCCCACCCCCCATCGACAACATTTTCGGGAAAACTTTGCACGACTTGGTCAAAATCCTAGGAAATGTTGGTCAAACCATGACCCCCCCCCCCAATGTTGATGGCTTCGCGACGTTCCTGTGTGGGGCTTTTCTTAAAAATGCTGCTACGGCGTGCACCTGTGAAAGCTAAAACCTGCTTGAGCGTACGCACCATATACGTTTTGAATGTGGTTGATCATGTCTTGGTCTTGTCCCACAAGTGAAAAAGGAAATACTTTTATTACTGCAACCGAATAATTTGTGGCCTAACCTTAGGTATTGGGTGTTAGACAAATTCCTGACACCTATAAATGATATAGGTAGAGTTTGACAGATCTCGACTCCAGCAATTTATTCAGAGAAGAATCGCGTTATTCCAGCCCAGACTCAGGGCCTTCTAAGTTCTAGTTTCTATTTCTGCGATCCCTCTGTTGATATCGATCAAAAATGCTCGTGATGTCATGAAGCCGATTAACATGCAAATCAAGCGCCACCAACTAAGAACCTAGGTCTAGGGAGACGTTATTATAAGTAAGAGAATTCTAAATTCAATTAAAAACAAATCAGTAAAAATGGCAAGAAGGGCTCATCTAATTTTAATTAATTTAATTTACTAATCAGTTCTTGAAGTTTCAATACGATTTTATCAACACCAGTTTGATTCAATGCTGACACGGCAAGAACATGATCAAACTGAAAATTTTTCAACATTTTGATATGTTCCATGTTTTTTGCGGGCAGGATTTCACGTTGTGCCAATTCGTCTATTGCCGACGTTTCACCTAAAAAAGTATAACATTGGTTGTAACAATGTTATTTAGTCAAATCGTTATACATTGTTATCACAAATTGTATTGTACATGAATTGCAGCACCACAAAACCGTGTTGAAACAATTTGTATAACAAGTATTCGTCTGTGTACAAGTTTGTTCTGTAATATAAGCCTATAAAGCCGTGTTAACACTGCAGGCCCAGCCTTGGATTCATTGACCTTATGCTGATTGGTTGATTAAACCAGTTAGCCAATCAGTGAAGAGAGAATCTGACTGGTTTGTCCAACGACTGTACATTAGTACTGTACACGCATATGTGGGATTATAAGTATGATGCTATTACGTTGTAATGCCTATTATTTCACTTGTGTCATCTTTTTGTGCTTTGCATGGATGTTTTGTGTGAAGTAACATGAAACTGAGAGTTCAGCGATTTAGACAGATTTCAAGTAAATAAAGTATATTTTTGAAACCAGTATACAGTATATCCTAAGGAATTGAATGATTGGTAGGTATTGAATATTTATAAATTCTTACGATAATTAATATACCCTTGCTCAAAGTCTAATCTAGTGGCCAACATCTGATCGTGTACATAAATTCAGTTTGTATTTCAAATTTTGTCTAAATTATATGCTTCCTGCCATAGACACAAGTCCTAAATATTTACATATTGAACACATTTCTCGTACCTTGTGAAATTGAATCACCACTTTTCTCTCTGAAGATGCGGTACTTGTCTTCAGCTCCGGCGCAATCCATTTTATTCAAAACTAATATTTTTGGTTTAGTTAATACATCATCTCTGTACAGTAATAATTCCTAGAAAGTAAGCAACCAAATTAATTACCCAGGGAAATATATCTTGCACAAGAATTTTGTGCCGGTTGATCGAAAGCTGGTTAACTTAATTCTGGGGGGTTTATTTGAAACGCGCAGGGGGGGGGGCTGATAGTCAGGCCCACCCAAAAGGGACGTTGTCTTTACATATATAATTTTTGGTAACGTATTTCTACAAACGCCTTAATTTCTTTGGTAAAAGGCTCTAAAGCAAAAATCCCAATCATGAAAACGAGGTTCAAAGGCGCTGTACTTTCGGCAAGGATGCTTCGTCTATCTATCCTGTGTGCTCTATATATAGAGAGGATCGCATTTGACCAAAAATACACGGAAACGACCGCAGAGAATACAGACGTTCAACCCACTTTTTGTTTCAATCTCAGTAGCTAGGATGTTACATCACTAATAATATTGACATAAAGAGGGAGCAAAGTGTAGATTTGGGGCCCTTGGTACGAGATTCTTCTAGGTGACACGAGTCAATGGGTATTCCTTAGCTTAAATTTAAGCCCTAAGGCCAAACAGCAGCTTATGAACAATAATAAAACATTTCTGTGGTTATACATACGTTAGCCAGTAAACAAATCGTTTCGAATACTGTTCTCGTTGGATGCTTACTTGAGAGCTGAAATCCATTGACATCCACCTAAATGTGTGTATAATGAACAACTCTATAAAGATTCATGTCAACGCACTGGCAACTTACTCTTCCACAGTCCCTCAAATATGCACGAGCTCGCATCTCTATTAAGCTTTATTCTCTACTAAACTTCCTCTATATTAAGCTGCCCTCTCTATTAAACTCCCTCGCTGTTAAGCTTTCCTCTCTATTGAGCTCCCTCTCTATTAAGTTCTCCTCTCTATGAAGCTTCCCCTCTCTATTAAGCTCCCCACTCTATTAAGCCCCAACTCTATTAAGGTCCCCTCTCTATTAAGCTCCCCTGTATATTAAGCTTCCCCTGTCTATTAAACTTCTCCGGTCTATTAAGCTCCCCTGTGGATTGGATTGGATTGGAAAACTTTATTTAAACAGGTTAGCCTCTTCAGCCGAAAGCTGGTATTCATGAGGGACCTGCATTTAAATTATTTTACACAAATGTATGTAGTATAATAAGATTTAAACATGCAATTCACACTATCAATTACGTAAATAATTCCAAATTTGAGTTTTGAAACTAGAAAGTGTCGTTGCCTCTTTAACTCTAATAGGCAATTTATTATATTGTAAAGGTCCATTAAATCTAAAGGTTCTCTTACCAAGTTCAAGCTTCATCTTAGGAAGATGTAGATCGTTTTTCCTCCTTGTATTGTGTTGATGAATCTTATAGTTTTGAATAAGAAGTTCGCTTATATTACTAGGATAAAGGTCATTTAGGCATTTATAAACAAAAATACAAACATGGATTTCTCTTCTTCTTTGTAAACTTATCCAGTTTAAGACACTAAATGTGTCAACAGAGGACGATCGTTTAAGAACAAGACGAGCCGCTTGGTTTTGAAGGCGTTGTAATTCTTGACTGCAATCTTCCGATAATTGTGCCCAAGCTACATCGCAGTAATCAAAGATGAGTAATATTAATCCATTATAAACAGCTTTTGCAGCCTCCAATGTTAAATATGCTCTACTCCTGCTCATTATCTTTAACCTTATGCCAATATTCATACTCATCTCTTCCACATGGTCCTTCCAGTTTAAGTGTTTATCCAAAACAACTCCTAGATAGGTAAATTGATCGACCTGTTTAATATTCTGTCCATACAGATGGATGTTGAGATCTTGAGCCGCATCAACTTTTTTCGTTGTTCCAAATAACATTGTCTTGGTCTTTTCCTCACTTATAACCAACCTATTTTGTTCCAGCCATATCACCAACCTATTAAAGTCATTTTGTAAAACGTCTCGAATTTTAGCAGTCGATTTATCAGAGTAATGAATCATAGTGTCATCCGCATACATACTTATAGAACAGTCTTTAAGACATATAGGAAGGTCGTTTATGTACAGGATAAAAAGTAAAGGTCCAAGTATTGAACCTTGGTGAACACCATGGTCAATACTTGCACTGTCCGATAAATCTTGACCAAATTTTACCCTTTGTGAGCGTGTAGTTAAATAGTTTTGAAACAAATTTAGACTGCTCCCCCTTATACCATAATGTTCCAGTTTGTAAAGCAAGCAATCGAGGTCCACGAGGTCAAAAGCCTTTTTTAAATCTATAAAAACAGCACCAGTAGTTTTTTGCTTATCCATATTATCGAGAATTTTATCAACGAGTGACACAACAGTAGTTTCCGTAGAATGCTGCTTTCGAAAACCTGATTGATGGGTGGAAAGGATATTGCAATTGTTCTCATTAATGAAATTAAGAAGTTGTAATTGTATAGCACGTTCCGTCACTTTCGAGATCAATGGAAGAA